CCTGCTCTCACTGGGATGTTAGGGACAGAGGGACAGACAGAGGATGACAATGAAGATGCTGGTGTTCATCATTTTACTTCTCTTCCCAGAACTGTTTTTCATGTTGTTTTCCTATTTCATAACTTTATTAACCACAATGACCTGGACTTAATTCTTGAGTTATGCTGGTTTCATTACTCACTCACAGTCCTTGAGCGTCTGTGTGTGGATGTGGAGAGGGGGCGGTTCTGTCAGGAAAGCTACGCAGATGGGAAGCTCTCGGAACATGTGCGTGTCTGAAATTATTTTCTGCCGTCACACCTGAATGGCTGGCTGGGTGCGGATCTCTGCGTGTGGTTCTTTCAGTCTGGAAACTACAGTTAGCTCGACGCTCCCCGGATCCCGTGCCCCAGGGCAGAGGCTCGTCAGGGGCACTGCCACCCTCCTCCGACTTACATGCCCGCTGTACTCCCCCAGCCTTACCTGTGCCTGGCCGTGAGGACGTCCCACACTTGGCACACCTCCCAGAGTGGAGGAAGGGCGCACCGCCACCCAGGAGCCCACCCCCTCTGCCCCATGAGCTGGCAGGTGTGCCGGTGCTGCGGGCATCTGTCCCACACATTTCCCGGGCTCTCCCCTCCCGTGTGGCCGATGGCACACTAATGAGCCCTTCCTCTAACCCGATCTCACCCGCACTATGTCACGCAGAAAGTCCTCGTGGGTCCAGAATGAGGCTGACCCCTGTTCTGACGCGCCTTTCTCCCTGTTAGTATATACACTGTGTGCATTTTGATAGGAATTGCTAAGGGGTGGGAGGGAGAGTTAGTAAATGTACTCTGGAGCCATCTGGAGATGGAAGTCCACTTACAGCCTTTTTCTTTTTAAAACATTATCGAGTTCTGACACAAGGGGATCCTGCAAGAAACCACACATCAATTTCTTTTACTTCTTGTGTATGTCCGTGTTTCGAATCAGAAAACTCGTCTTCTTTGGCACTCATTCTCCTTTTCAGCAGCAGGTGGCGCTGTATGAACCCGAACAAAATCACCTTCTCCACCAGACCCGCCCAGGGGGTGGCTAAAAGAACAGGGACTTTGTGGGAGGCTTAGTTCGGCTGAATTCTTTAGGCTCTATATTTCTAGAACTGAATTGTTTCATACAATATAACATTCAAAAGATAATCTTAACTACAGTGGTCTGAGGGCGCGTCCTGATTCTCACGTGAACAGGCCCCACGTCATCACGCTCGGCAGTGAGACCGTGGAAGGAGAGAATCAAAACTGCTCCCGGGAGCTCTCGCAGGCCCTGTCCCTGAGCACAGGAGCCTCGTGAAGTGGCCCGTGTGTCTCCCTGTGCAGAGTATCCTTGAAATGTGTGTTTCCCCCGCAAATACCTACTAAGATCAACGTAAGTAAATACGTATACACAAATTGTGGAATACTAAGCATCTTTAAAATGATATTCATAGTGAATTTCGGTGATATTATCACAGTAAGTAAATATAAAGATATTATAGTAGAGTCTGACTATAATCGTGCAAAATAGGCAAAGGAAAAGGGCTGGAAATAAATACGCCAGGACAGTAACATTCGTTCATTCGACAATGCTCGTTAAGCCCGCACGCCGTCCCGGGCACCGTCCCGAGTGCCGAGGACAAGGTCCTGCCCGCGTGAAGCGGAACAGTGTTGTTTGTTTGGTGAAGGGGTTGTGGGGTTTTTTGTTTGTTTGTTTGTTTGTTTTATAACTTTCTGCGTTTTCCATGTTTTTTTTTTTACAAGGAGTGTGTATTACTTTCACAATAAGACCAGAAACAAAGGATTAGTTTGACATATCAACCGTCACCCTAGTAGACCTAAGACAGTATGTCCCATTGTTAAATTTCCTTTACTCTCTTTAAAGCTCTCTGTCCAAAACATGATTTAAAAATTGCTTGGCAAGTAAAGCCAACTGATGATGGGGGAATCATAGAAAACAGAGGGGTTTGGGTTTTTGGAGGGGGGGGTTGTCTTTGTTTTTTGGTCTAGATTACCTGGAAATGGTTAATGTCCTATTCAGACGAGGGAATCTTTGAGTGTTTCAAGGTTGGCTGCAGAAGAGCCTGTCCTTT